GACTTCTATCAGGGTGTCATGAGCGTGTGTAAATTTTTGGTTAGTTGAAGTACGCCGACCTTGGTGAGATGGGTGCTTGGACGACCGTGGTAGACTTCTTGCGGTGATTTTGCTGGTCTCTTTGTTGCTGTCGTTTCCATAGCCGTTGAGGCAGCAATTTGAGGAACCTGTCCGGATGGTTTGGTCGTACTTGTGAAGGGCGCGGGGAGAGGTTTCCTTTCTATTCGGGTGCTCGACGTGGAAGCATTTGGGGTCCCACCCTTGTTGCCTATGGGGTTGATTGTGCGTTTTGTGGGGGGTCCAAATATTAGGCGGAGTAGACCGCCGGCGCGCTGCACAACATCTCAGAGCGATGGCTGCTCCGACCCCATGTCGAGTCTCGAACGGGATGGGGAAGTTTCTCCGTGACATCATCTCACGACCAGGAACGGTAATACTTAATTTTTTTGTCTATTTTGAAAGGTTTTTTTCCTTGCGGGGATTTTCGGGAATTTTTTGATGTTGGAGTTAACCTGTGGAAACATTGGTCGGAAGGGTGTTATCCTTGTTCGGGTTATTCGTCGTGGGAAGGTATGTTTTGTATTCCGCACTTTATTTTTTGGTTTCATGATCGTAAACTCCTGTTTTAGAGTCGAGTAGGTTAGGCGATCTGTGAAATCGTTAGTGATCTAGGCGGAGTACACCGACGGCGCGCTGAATTACATCTCAGAGCGATGGGTATTCCGACCCCTACGACGAGTTTCCCGAGCGAGAGTGTTTCCCGGTATTCGCTGGTTGGCGCCTTCTATGGCGTCAGGAGTTTTCATTGTTTGAGAAAATATCAGGAAATTTTCTTAAGGTTGGGGGGGAATTGTAACCTTCGGGTTTGGTTTTAACTATATTTTTTGTTTCACATTAAATTGTGCTTTACTTTTTGTTGAATATATTATACCATTGGTTTAGTGTTGAGCACTTAAATCGGTGGGTTTTTTCTTCAATCTTTTGGTGGTCCATATTTTAACCTGCTCAATATTCATAACTTTAACATCTTGCTTTAATTGTTTAACTTCATAACTTACCTTGGCATTAAAACTACGTATAACTCATGAGACTTTATTGAACAACAACAACAATACAAAGTGTTTTATAGCCATGTCACTCAGGTTGTCATATTCTTGGCAGTCCATTCGGCTAAGATTTCCTAAAAGGAAAAGTGGTGTTATCAAGCGAATACGCATTTTTAATTGAGTCAGAGCTTGAATATTATTTGTTTTTCTTTTATTAATAACTTCGTGGGATGGGAATAAAAGTTTACCTTTGTTTATTTAATGCAGAACATCCTATTATTATTTTGAGAATTCTGGCTGTTGAAATTGGTTTGTCAGGCCATTGAGGTCACCTATAAAGAAATACGTTTTATTATTGCCTTTGAGACAGTTATGGATTCGTAAATGATTAGTTAGGATAGTAAATATTCAAGTTACTTACCACTTTTTTGTTTACAACATTTAGAATTGTATGTCAGTCGGCAAAGTCATCTGCGGTATTTGACGTTTCATCTGTCACAATTAGGAGATTTCGTTCGGTAAAATTTAGACGTTCGACTGGTATAATACCAGTGGTATTCATTGACGGTTGCGGGGTTGCCAAATACAAATCTTTTAGATTTTGAGCACGTACGGCGGGTCCGACGCATGGTGCAATGTATACATATAGTGTCAGATATCGCGAGGTTGCAAACGAATATGCACATATATGTTCGACGTTAGCGGCAGGTTCGCTGATGATACTATATAAACGTAAAGACCCAACCGGCAACACTGGGTACATTTAACCTACGGTGTTACATTATTAATTAAAATGTCAAATTTCGAGCGATAAAGATTGCCTGGATTCTCCTGTCGTTGTGTTTTGTTCTTTGTTTGAACTATTGGTTAAACTAAAGTCTTAAAATCATTCTTATTCTTCTGCGTTTAATTTCTACTGTTAGATGTTTTGATTTCCGTGCCAATTTTGGGTAGTATTACGCACATCCGGCCGAGAATGTTCTAGAACCTGGTGGAAACAGGAAATAGTTTTTTAAGGGACGCGAGCCCTCACCACTTGGCAATTGTGTGTTCAGCAGACAAGTACGTAGTAAATTTTGGCTTTTCACGCCTAACCTGATAAAGGGATATAAACGTGCTTTTCTAACTTGGAAGTTGTGCTGTTGTTTTGGCATTGTGTTTTGAAGGAATCAAAAGGCTTCCAAACGGCTTTGTAGCCGGATTAAAACTGACCGCTGCTAACATTTTTCCACGTGGGTTTCCATACGTTTCCACCATAAGTTCGTAAAGGACATCAACTCCATATAGGAGACAACCCAGAGGAATAAGAATCATTTAACCCTTATTATCAAGGTAGGGCATATTTTTTATTATATCGAGAGACGAGTTCTCAGGTGGGTTTATTTTATTTTTAGGGTTTTAATTCTGAGCCTAGAGCCTCAGTTTAAGTCTCGAGCAAGATTATTGTCTCAAGTATAGAGATCAAGTTGTTTTAAGTCGCACCTCCTGTGTCACCCACGATCACCAGGATATTAGATATTGGATACCGTACACGGATGGACATTGACTGACGTACAATTCTTACAGGAAAAGCTCCACGTACACCAATTTTGTCTTACAAAGTGCAGAACTAAGGTCAGATCCATTTATTTAACAAACAATTAGGTCCTGGTAGAATATTTATCAAACTTTTAATCATATTTAATATAATCTTTGATTAGTGTGAACTGCGGGTACATTGGCCAATATACACGAAGGGTGTTTAACATCATACTGTAATACCAGGGTACTTTAAATAACTTGTACTTTAAATAACTTGTACTCTATTAACTTGTCTTGGGATCTGATTTAAGAATATTCTTTTTATATATAAACTTCGTGTGAAATACACTTCAATTTTTTTAGTAATTTCTTTTATTCTCATCCCATATAAAAAATTACTTGGTGCCCAATTCTAAAAAGTTTAAAGGTAAGTAGTAATTACGAAGGACATTCACCCACGACCACCTAAGCTAGCGGGATTTTGTGGCTCAGAGTCTACGTAAGAGATTCTGCGCTATAATGTACAACTCAAACTCGAATTTGACAATTATAGAAATTAATTAACTTAAATAAATTAACAAAACATAATCGTTAAGGAATGTGGGATACCATAAAAGAAATAAGTGGTTCTAAAAACTGTAATGATATTTCAGCTGTAAAAAATGAAAATGGCACTTTGGAGTATGATATAGAAAAAGTTGCGAATATATTTAATAAGCAATATTGGTAATAACCCTGCATCCAAGATAAGTAAGGATCAACACTCCCTGTGAACAAAAACTCCTTAATTTACTCTATCTGGAACCAACAAACGAAGTTCTAATAATGAATGTAATAAACAAAATAAAAAACTCTGTTGGTATTGATGGTTTAAAGGCAGAAACATGTTTTGAAATTGTGTCTTCTTTAACTAACCTTCCAAATTGGATTATGGAAAGCGGATATTATCCCTCTGACTTCAGTGGTGGTGCCAATTTTCAAGAGTGGTAATACAACTGAAGTCTTGAATGTTTCGCCAATTTTACTTATTACTAATTCAGCAATTTTTTTTTAAAGTTATAAAAACAAGGCTTAAAAAATTTATAAATAAATTTAAAATCGTGTCATGACACCTGCAGTTTGGTTTTCGGGCGGAAAAGTCAATCCAGGATGCAATTAAGGCACCAATTCTATAAAGCCTTGGATGGGTAAGCCTTTCTGTATGTGTATTTTTGGATCTAGCAAAGGTCTTTGATACCGTAAGCCATTCTCTCCTTTTAAAAACATTGCAAAATATAGGTATTCGGCGAACATCCTACAAATTATTTGATAGCTATTTAAATAAAAGATTACAATGTGTAAAAAAAATATAAAAAGGAGTTTTCAATATATTGTTCCATAAGGTACGGGCTGAGGCCATTGTTGTTCATAGTATACATGAATGGTTTATTCTCAATAAAGACCAAGGCTAAAATACTTAACTTTGCTGATACTACTGCACTGATTTATAAATCTGCTAACTGGGATAACTTGGAGCAAACTGTTGGAGAGGATATGATAAATATAAAAAAGAGGTTTGATCATATGATGTTGTCTATAAATTTTGATAAGAACTGTTTTTTACCATTTACTTGTCAAAGAGTTAGAATGCCTGGATTTAATGAAATAAATATTAATGTGAATGACCAGGGTTTTTCTATTAAATGCAGCAAAAATAAATATTTGGGTATATATATATATATATATATATATATATGGATACTTAAATAAAATCGGATGAGCATAAAAAATACACACAAAATAAAATTAGAACAATAATTCCTAAATATAAACTACTAAAAAACATTCTTGACCTTGAAGACTTAAGAATTGTCTATAATGCTCTGGTAGAAAGTCATCTTTCTTATGGAATTGTTGGATGCGGTGGATATATAATACATACACATTTACATTACCTGGAAATTTTACAAAAAAGAGTATTAAAAATTATGCTTCATAAAAACTTGCTTTAATGCACAGAATTGTTGTTTCAGTAGTCGAAGGTTTTTGACATTACACAACTTTACTTTTACACAGTAGCTATTCGACAATATAAACAAAAAGATTGCTTACCAACTCTGCAACATAATCACAATTAAACCAATATTTAGGTTTTAAAATAAAAAAAATCTTTTGTCCAAAGATGTAGTAATTATATTGGAATACATTTTTTTAATAGCATAACAGTGTAATTAAAAAATACTCCTAAATTAATTGTATTTAAACGTCAACTTAATTAATAATCAGGTCCTACGCCTTAGGCGTAACGCCAATGACAAATGACAAAATTGAATTTTTTTTTGAATAATAATAGTTCACAGCACTATCTGCGAAAGAACAGATCTGTCGGTGATAAGATCAATGGTTTTGGGGCTTGTTAACTTTTTTTGTAAAATATTTCACTCCTTATTTTAGGAACAAAATACATCAAGAGGCACTCTTGAATCGCCCGAAAAAAAAGTACAATCCAGGTGGCGACAACAAAATATTGATAATAGAAAGCGAGTAAAGGCAAAAAAGCGAAGAAATTTGGGTCATTCCTATGAAAACTGGAAGGGAAGAAAAACAGAAGCGAGAACCTTAGGCCCCCAGTGCCATTGTAAAAATAAATGCAGATCATTAATTCTCTTGGGTAATGAAAAAACAATATTTAACTCATTTTGGAATTTGGATTCATAAGACAAGCTAAATGCTTACCTGTTTGGAACAATAAAAGGTAAACCTAAAAAGAGAAGTTATGCTAAGAAGACAAAACGAAAAACTTCTTCGCGAACAATGACTTTTTCATATTATGTTAAGGTTCAAGGAGTTGACAAACTAATATGCAAGGAAGAGTTCTTGTCTGTACATGGTCTGCAGAATTCTAAACAGCAAGTATACAACATATGCAAGCAAATCCGTCAAGGAAATATGATTCCAAACTGCGACAAACGCGGTAAACATAACAACCGCAAAAACCGATTACTTGATAAAATGGTAAAGAGTGTACATGATCATATTAAGGCTATTCCTAAGTATACAAGCCACTATAGTAGAAAATGTTATCCCAATCGAGTCTATATTGATCATGATCTCTTAATCGCTTCTCTTTATAAGAAATTCTATAAACCATGGTGCACAGAACAAGGTATTTTGCCTGCCAAAGAAGATTCTTACCGAAGAATCTTTTGTTGTCACTATAATATTGGTTTCAAGCTCCCCAAAAGCGATACTTGCGAAACATGTGATCTACACAAAATTTTAATAGACAATAAAAATAACGAAGAAAAATTGAGAGAACTTCAAGTAGTAATAGCTGACGCTAAAAAAGAAAACAACAATAAACATATAATATCATTCGATCTTCAACAAGCTCTGCCAATCCCAGAATCTGGGATTTAACGGTGGGAAAGGCATTTTATCTAAGGAAAGCGTGGATGTATAATCTTGGTGTGCATAACTGCAACACTGGCAAGGCATCTATGTACATTAGGGTGGGCCGAAAATCCGCTTTTTTAGAATTTCGTTTAGTAATAGCAAAAATTTTGTTCATTATGTTGTAAAAAAATTTTGTGTAAAAGATTAAAATTTTCGATCAACATCCTAGGCTCGCCCAACGCAATTAAAGATCAAAATGTTCAAAAAAAATTTTTCTTAATTTATTTCGATCGGAAATTTTATGCTCTACACAAAATTATTTCAGATGGATAGTTTCAGAAATTTGTTCATTATGTTGTAAAAAAAAATTGTGTAAAAGATTAAAATTTTCGATCCTCATCCTAGGCTCGCCCAGCGCAATTAAAGATCAAAATGTTCAAAAAAAAATTTTCCTAACTTAATTCGATCGGAAATTTTATGCTCTACAAAAAAGGTCCTTACACTAAATTACTTCAGATGGATAGTTTTAGAAATAAAACCGATTTTAGTATCAAAATTGTTTTGAACATTTTGATCTTTAATTGCGTTGGGCGAGCCTAGGATGTTGATCGAAAATTTTAATCTTTTACACAAAATTTTTTTACAACATAATGAACAAAATTTTTGCTATTACTAAACGAAATTCTAAAAAAGCGGATTTTCGGCCCACCCTAATGTACATGTGGCCAGAACACATAGCAAAGCGTGGCAGCGAAGCAAGTGCCATTTTAAAGTATATTAATGATAATGGCCCCCAAGCAGAAGAACTTCTAGTGTTCACTGATAACTGTGGAGGGCAAAATAAAAACTGGACTATAATATCTCTTTGGGTACAGATGGTCAGAGAAAAAAAATTTAAGAGCATTGAACACCGATTTCTCGTACCGGGGCACACACATTTACCGCCTGATAGGGATTTTGCCGCAATTGAAAAGCATAAAAAATATTCAAAACAGGTGTACTGCCCAGATCAGTGGTATGAGGCTGTTAGAGATGCAAAAATAAAAAATCCGTTTGAAGTCGTACCAATGACCCAGGCAGATTATTATTCTTTTGAAAATATTCAAAATTCTATTAACAAAGAGAATGTAACAGATACGAAAGAAAAGTTGAATTTTAGTAAAGTAAGATGCTTTCGTTTTGAGGCGGAGCATCCTAACACAATGTTTATTAAACATTACTTAAATGAAGCTTTTATACCTGTAAGTATTGGAAAAAGAGGTGTGCAAGTTTCAAAGTATCCTAAACTTAACGAACTCCCACTAAGATATAATGCATTAGTAAAAATTAATCCGAAAAAACTTAAAAATCTGAAGGCGCTTCTTCCTTTTGTCCCCGTGATTTATCATGGTTTTTATAGGAGACGTGCAGCTGGATGCTAATGATGTACTCGTAGATGAGGATAACATAGAACATCTTGACGAAGAAACCGAACATTATTTGATTTAGGATTAAGCCGCGTTTAAAAATATTTTAAGTTCATTTACATTTACATTTTTTTTTATTTTTTATAATTTTTTCGTTACTTGTTCAAATTTTTATTTTGTTTTTGACATTTTATAAAACTTTTAAATGCAAATATAGAACTATATAAATATTTTTGCGCTTGCTTTATAATTATGGTTTCAGGATTTGATTAAAACATAAAAGTTGTAATTACTCCAAACTTGAAATAAGTGGCTTAACACCCTCTTTCCCCGAGCCCTTCAAATAGTCTTTTATAAAATCAATTGTCTCAAACTGAAAAAAGGAAATTTTATATTAATGCAATAGAATTTAAAAAACGTGTTATTTTACTTCATACCATTACGATACCGCAGCCGAGTCTTCGAGACCAAGGCTCAAGAATCGGATAAGTAGCGAACATCGGTAATCCGATCTTTACTAACTGCTAAGAACTAGCAGATAGTACCAGTCGTCAACAAATCCTGAAAAGGTGCCAAACAACGCTGCATATGTCACAAAATCCTGGTCCCAAAGACATACAAAAACATCTAAGGATTATATATTAACCTAACCTTATTTTTGTGAAAATATATTTTTAATGCATTTTCGTTGAGATGGCACACTGTACTCAGTTTAAGATGGCATACTATGCCATCTCACCCAGAATTTGAAAGTAGATAAAACTACTAATATTTAATTATTTATTAATTGTTTTTAGCATGGGCCGCTATACAAGAAAGTCTCAAATCATAGCTGAGATAAAAGTAATATGAAAAATGTCAATCAATCGTGAAATGGCATAATGGGATGGTTATTAGCATCAAAGACTTTTAGTGTACCATTTGGTTCACTTATGAGACGAGCAGCTAAAAATGACTGAAGCAAAAGGTATTTGGGAGGATATAAGACAACGTTTAACAAGGAGTTGGAAGAAGAAATTGTATTTTATATTAAAAATTTGGAAACTCGATTTTTTGGTCTATATACAACAACTGATGTTAAAAAACTAGCAAATCAGATCGCTAAGTCCAAGAGAATAAAACATAAATTTTTAAAAATTAAGAAAATGGCTGGATGGGAATGTCAATACTTTTCGCCAAAGAAACCCATCTCTAAGTTTGCGAACACCAGAATCAACATCTGCCGCTAGAGCTTCTGCGTTAGAGTCCGCAAATTGAGAAAGTGAAGTGTCCCCCTCCTTGAGGGCTATTAGCGGGCCACGAATTCTCAGGCAGTAAGACGAGGCAGTTAAACTGTGGTCTAACCGTGTGACAAGGCGCACGTGTAAGTTCTCGTGTCCCCACACTCACGAGATACCTGAGTTACGGCTAAGAGACATAGCATGGGGTTGGTACCCCCCTGCGATTAATAGCGGGCGACCATCACGCCTTCGCGCCTAAGCTCTTCCCCCCTCCTTGATGGATTGCTGCTGTAGTGGTTACACGAACACGCATTATTCAGACGGTGTCGCGGCTCCTCAGAGCCCTCTTTATCCCCCGCAACCTTCCCCTTAAAAGTCCAGCTGGTTTGGTGGGCTGAAGGCAAGCCAGGGAACGTTCGACTACTGAGTGGCAACAGCCCACTCCTTTCCAGGTGTGTTCTTTAGATCTACCATGAGTGATTCATCGAACCCCACCTCCCCTAAGGACTTGAACTGGTCCGCCGGTTCTCCAGGCTCTGCGGGCTCAAGGGCCACCAGCGAGGATGCTTCCTCTAGCGTCGTTGATCAAGGTGCACCCGTCAGGCTTCCTGACTTGACGGGGATTGACAAAACAACAAAGGAAATTTTCTCTTCACTTAATGACTTTTAGTCTGTCTTTGCTGAGTGATGGCGCTCATCAATGAAGGCATGTCTTATATCACTTCTTCCGAAGGCAAATAAGCCAAAAAGGACGTGGTCATTAGCACTTGCACGAAAATCTTCAGCAATCTAACAACCGAAATGAATAACTGTATGAAGGTACAAAAGGCCTCGTCCGGGACGAAGTCTATAATTAAATATATTAACTCGGCCATTAAAACCTTAGACAAGGCTAAAACAAGTGCGTGTGCTGGTGTCCCGACTCAGGCTCCTGTCATACCTATTACACAAAATGCTCCTACGTATGCAACCGCCACCGCTGCTGGCAGCAGAGTCAGATCTATTGGTAAGAAAATGGTTTCTACAAAAGCTATTCATAAAATAGAAATCTCCCCTGCGAACCCCAGGCTTTAAGTCGACGGAGGCTGTAAAGAGCAGCATTCTGTCGAATATTAATCCCGCTACCATAGGTTTCGCACCCTCAAAAATGTATGCCAAAACAAATCAATTGTCATAGAATCACACGATGAAAATATCAAAAAACTGCTGGACTACCCAAAGTGGTCGTCTCTGAAGCTACGCGCGGCTGCCCCTCTTAAAAGAAAGCCAAGGCTTTCTATATTTGGCGTTTCTTCATTCATATGTAAAGAAGATCTTGCAAAGGTTATCCTTTCACAGAATGGCCTTTAAGATCAACAGGCGGAGGAGATTAATCCTATACATAAATTCGGCCCAAGGGGTCAGAAACTTGTGCACTGGGCCGTGGAGGTGACTCCGGCAAAATTGCAGGGTGGAGAACAGGACCAGGGTAACTATATGCCACAAATGTTATGGATTTGGCCATACATCTGCTAAATGTCATGCAGATGCCATCAAATGTGGACACTGCTCCGCGTTGCATGACATGAAGGACTGCCCTGACAAGGAAGTCCTGGAAAAACTAAAGTGCGCATCCTGTTCAAATATCAAAGGTCTGAATGACTTGTGTCATGCGCCTGGTACGGAGAAGTGTGTGTCTTACGGGAGGAGAGTTAAAGCCCTGATTGAAGACACGGATTACGGGCCTCAAAATTAATAATATTCTCGAACCGTCTCCAATTCTTTTTTAACTATCCCTTTGTAAAGGACAAAGATGTGGCTCTTATCCAAGAGCCATATTGCACCTTCTCCAAAACCACCAACAAATACTCTATTCCTGGTATTAGCCACTTTAGGACCATTGCCGACTCGGAGCAGGCCTTCAGGTCATGCATCTTGGTGCTAAACCTGCACCTACATGTCTTACCAGTCCATTGCCTCAATACCGAAATCATTACTTCTATAATAGTAGAATGTGGCGGCCTGTCTTTCGCCTTGATGAGCGTGTACTGCCCCCCCAGAGACGAGCTGTGCGGGCTGTTGGAACAAGTCTCAACTTGCTTGAATACACTTAACTTATCTACCAATAACATGCATGTGCTCAACGCACCATCCGACATCACCTCGTACAGCTCTGCCCTGGGGGAGAGTAACATCGACCTCACCATCTGTTCTACAGCTTTGTTAGACCTAGTCTCTGACTGGAGAATCACCGCGGATATGTGCCCAGGTGACCACCGAGCCCTGTTCAACCTGTGCGGCAATCTTCTAAATCTATAAAAAAGTTTACCAAGATGAAAGTGATATTGAAGATATATTACCAATGGTCAAAATCTAAAGAAGTATGGTTTAAGTGACTATTCTGCAATAAGTGCAGACTGCAAAAAACGATAACCCTTTTAAAAATATAATTGGATTTGCTTCTAATGGGTGTAATTAAATGATGGCGGAACATAATTCTGTCTCAAGTAGGTTCAAAGAAATTTGTCCTAACATTGTAATAATTAAGTGTATATGCCAATCCTTGCATTTGTGCAGCATTTGTGAAGCATTCCTTGAACATGTAAAGACCTTTGTAGAAATATTTATAATTTCTTTAAAGTAAGTGCACATCTTATTATTTATATTTATTATGTTTATATTTATTGTTTTAGAATAGCTCAAAATAAATGAATTTAAACAATTCCAAACTTTTGTTGAACTTGATGTCCACAGATTACTTCATCTCTACCCTAAATGTTTCCCTAAATTGAATGTCGTCATATTGTGGTACTGTTGTTTCTACATATTTAATAATAATTGCCACTTTTAAGGTTTTGTCTCAAATTTTTTTGGAAGAATCAGATTCTGATTCTTCACTTGAGCTGGACTCGAATAAAACTTTTATTGTTATTTTCGTATTACCCATAATTCAACGTACACTTAAAGCCTTATTGTATACTGTTATCAGATATAGGTTATGCTGCTTCTCATATCCCATTAACTGAAGTGAGCTGAGATTTCAGGCAAAAAGAACGCAACTAATTAACAGGGTAAATGATCGTAGAATGCCGTTTTACGTTTTCTTTATTAAATATAGTAATGGACAAGGCCAAGATGTTCCATTTTGGATACTAACCTCAGAAGATGCACACAATGTTGAAAATATAGCCCAATTATTTTAAAACACACAATCTTGAGTGAAAAAAGATTTAGTGCATAATTTCATATAAAGATTTTAATTAAACATTTTCCATCAAATTTTTCCACAAAGTCATATGCATTTTCCATTGTATAAGAAATTTGTACAGTGAAATTACAACAGAAAAGAGACATATTACTAAAGGACAACGAAATCTTTGCTTGCAAATTCTTAAAAAAAATGGTATACGCTAAAAATTAAAACGTATATGACCAATTATATGCAGAACTAAAAGATACTAAAAAATAAGCGTTATTAGGTATTTTAAAGAAAATTGCCATGATATTAGGAATGAATGGGTAATTAAATAATATTCTAGTTTCGGTAATCGGACAAACAACTGCCTAGTCCACAAATCAGAAAATAAATAATAAGTTGTATAGCGATAATCACAACTTGACCAACTCGTTTGGAAAACATCAAATACTCCAGTACTGACTCCATTTGCTTTTGAAAGACAAGACAAAATAAAAGTTGTTCAAATAGATAAAGACAATGAGGATATTTTAATATCTTCCTGTACCGTAGATTTATACCTAACTGCGACGTCTTGTACCTGTTATTTTTTAACGTCATTCACTCTTCCTTGTTGCCATATCTGCAAAGCACGAGAAATCTTTAATCTGGAGCTGTATTGTCCCAATCTTTGTGAAACACGATGGACATTGGACACTTTAGACGCTTGTGAGTGTGACTGCGAATTAATGCGAATATCGATCATTTTTAAATTTTATTTTATAGAGTTGTTATATTCCCTTTCGTGGCTTAGGTATTGTTTGTTCTTGTGATTTTGTGACTGTGTTTTTCCGTCTTCTACCAGAAAATAAACTGTAAGCAGCTATAAACCATTTTTAAACCCGGCAAAAAGCAATTTGGCGTCCATATTTTGATATTTTGTATTTACCTACTTAGGAAGGTACTTAAATTATTGTTCAATGCCCTTTTGATTTGTAGCTAAAGGTATTCACTACCTTGGTTGGCCATTTGTCATTTCATTTGAATAAATAAAAAAATTTATAAAATTAATCAGGTCTAAACCTGTTTTTAGCCAATAATAATAAATTTTAGGAAATCATAATTATCATAGGGGAATAGTTTAAAAGTTCATTACCTACTCCACTTGTTTTGTAAAATGTATACGGGAAAGAAAGTTTCGAAGCGTCAAAAATACAGGTACATCAATAACGGGTGAAACAAACAAAATTATTCTAATTCTGACTCCGACTCCAATTCTAATTTTACCTTGGGATTGCATTTGTCAAATCATTTTAAAACAAATTCTTCTAAAAGTCTTTTAGACTTTATTAAAAGCACGTCAGCACAAACCAAATCAATTAAATATTATTTTACCGGCAACTTCAGGTTTTGCCAATGTTGGTTCCAGTGCTGGTACTGAGTTATCATTAAGCAATTCTCAAGAGGACAGAACTAATTTAAAGCGAGCTAGTGATGAGTATCAAATTGAAGTCCTCGTTCATCTACCAATACTTTTGACAATATTGATTTTTGTAACAAGCTTGTTCAGTGGGCATTGTCATACAAAGTGCCACGTAATGCCTTAATTTCTTTATTAGGTGTACTAAAAGATGTCCCTTCTCTTTCTTATCTACCATCTGGTGTCAGAACACTTCTCAAAACGCCCAGAAAGGTTGATGTGAAAGTTCTTGAACCAGGACTTTACCACCATTTTGGACTAAAAAATGTTTTGATGAAAGTACTCCAAACTTCCAATGTACTTGAAATAATTTCAAACAATATTATTAGGATTTGTGTTAATATTGATGGGGTAACAATTTCTAAAAGCTCTGGAAGTCAATTTTACCCTATATTGTTTAATTTTACTGTTTGCCCAGAGCTTGTTGGTATTATAGGAATTTATCCTGGCAATGAAAAACCAAAAGAAGCCAATATATTTTTATTGGACTTTGTGACTGAATTAGTGAATTTATTCAACACGGGGTTAGAAATAAATAATATAACATATAGTCTTGAGTTTTGTTTTATATACAATTGGTCATATGGGGTATTACAGTTGCTCTAAATGTCTTATTAAAGTTATTTAATTAACAGGATGTTTTTCCTTTAGGAACAAATAAAAACTTCAGAAGTAAGTCCAACCCCAATCATCATCTAGGTACTTCCATCATTGAAGAGATTCCCAATTTTGACATAGTGATAAATGTTGTACTTGATCCCATGCATTTACTATTTTTAGGAGTAATGAGAAAATTTCTCTATCTTTGGTGTTTCGATACTCGTGCAAATAGTAAATTATCAAGGCATGATTTGTTGAAAATGTCAGAACTCATAGTTAATCAAAAGAATTTTATCCCCTATGAATTTAAAAGAAAACCACGGTCTTTAAATGAAGTAAAAAGATGGAAAGCTGTGGAGTTTAGACAGTTTTTGTATTATACTGGTCCCCTTATTGTACCTTTAGATAAATTTAATAATTTTTTAGCACTTTCAGTTTCTTGTATCATTTTATCAAGCGAAAAGTTAATGGTTCATGTGGACACGAGAGTTATTAATTTATTTTGTTATTTCTTTCAAATCTCTCTACGGCGAACATAATGTTTCACATAATGTTCACAATTTAATGCATATTACCAGTGATGCTGAATATATGGGTACATTAGATAAATTTAGTGCCTTCCCGTTTGAAAATATGCTACAAAAAATTAAAAATATGCTTAGAAAGGGAGACAATTCTTTGCCACAAGTGGTTAAAAAATTTCAGAAATAAACATTTCACTAAACTATATTTTGAAAAATTCAGAGAGCTGTAATAAAATATTACCAAAAAGACTGCATTCGAAGGGACCTTTAGTTGAGGGAACTGAATCACCCCAATATGAAGAAGTGTTTTTTAAAAATTTCAAGCTTTCTGTTTCTAAGCCTAATAATTGTTGTTCAACTGGCCAAAATATTTTCTGTATTCAGAATTTTGCAACCAAAAATGGCAAAGTAGTTATTATTGGCTTTAAATACCAGAAAAAAACAGATCTATTTTGTTCTCCTTGTAAATCTTCTGATCTTGGTATATATATTGTTGTCCAATCAGGTCCATTAGAAGTGTTAAATCTGGCGATTTAAACATATAAAAATATATAAAATTTTAATAATTTAAATTTAATTTAAGTATTCCAAATTATTTGTTTTACAATCAATTAGTTGTCAATCAGCAAAATTATAAATTTCGACCTCAATTAATCTCAAAGTAATCAGTTTTGTACCTGTATTGTTACCAAATGTGGTCACACAAATAATATTACTTAGGTTAGCAAAAATATGTATATAAATAGTGATAATTTAATAAATAAAACCAGTTACATTTTAACTCACAAACTTGACCTTACTATTGCCCCAAGCCACAAACCCTTAGAACGTGAGGCTGTGTTCTACATTAGTAAACAACCAGCAGATAATTTATCAATTATCTCTAGTCAACATTAACATAACAGCACTGCTGTTATTCATGGTCCTTCGAACAACGTTGAAGCAACTAATGAAGCCAGAAGAAACTGCACATCAACAATCAAACTACTGGAAAAGGCCCTTTAAAATTAACTTAAAGGGCATAGATACGTATTCCAACACCCCGTACAACCCCGTGAGCAACGACCCACGCTGTTGGAAAGGAAAATATACCAATTAACCCCAACCAATCAACTGGAAGCTAAGTCCAATAGACTGCGGCAAGAATTACAAACATACCAGTACAAGGTACAAAAAATAATCGAAAACTACCCCAGGCGCTTGTACTTAGACTTTCACTGGGAAGCACGCCGACAAGCAAAGAACTTACAATTATTTGGACCGGATCCATTGGAAAAAGAGCAAGAACAGATCCAAGATGCCCCGCCCTAGCGATCAACCATCCGCCTCGGAAGTCAACCACCAAGAAGGAATGAGCAAAGAAGCAATTTTGGAAGCAACAAACCAACTATGTCTTCTTCAAGAAGGCATAAGCAAACAGTTGAATCAACTGTATACCAATACAAAATAGGATTCACCCTCTCGAAAAACACAAGCTTACTTAAAAGAAAGGAGTGCCCTTGCGATGCAATTACTACATCAACCCAAGAAAAAAACATCAGAAGATCCAAATACCCTTTATAGGGTAGCGGGAGCTATAATTCCCACCAAATTTACAGCTTAAAGCTCTGTGGGTTTCATTGTACCCACGTGCGCAGTACATTACTTGTCATCTATTAAATGCGTGTATCATGTTTCAGCGCTCTATTCCACTTGTTGCACGCGTGGGAGTTGTTTATGTCGCCAAGTGGGAAATATATATCCCAGTAACCGTTCTTGATTTGTTTTTTTTATAATTTTTGTGTTTTACATATTAAAAATTAGTTATTGTTTGTGTTTTTGAAAAATCGACAAATAATTAAGGTAAGTGTTATAGCCCTAATGTAATAGCATCTATATTTAATATATTAAAAGAATATCTACGCAATATGGGGTCAGTTTTTTAATCTTTTAAATTGAAAATATTTTTTTTTTAAACCGCTTTTATTTTAAACTTAAAAAAATATATTAAATCCAAACTTTTTTGTTTAGATTTTTTAGATTTAGGTAAAGAAATAGGTATACAAAAGAACAGTAATATAAATAAAAAATAAAAATTTTAGGCAAAGATGTTCTGTGTACTTTTGTTGAAATTTTTTAAAATAAAAATAAAAATTTTAGGCAAAGATGTTCTGTGTACTATTATTGAAATTTTTAAATTATTTGCAACATGACTTGTTTTTATAGTTATAGGTTATAGTAAGGCCAAATAGGTTAAATCCAAACCCTGAACCTAACATAGACCTATTATTTTTTAGGTCACATTTTTCCAAAAAACTAATATTTATTTTTTATTTAGATATAAAACATGTCTCAGATGTCCCAAGAAGAATTAGAAGCTTTTGTAAATCAGTTTGCTGATGAAATTACTGATGAACAGGCGGAAAACTCGGACATTGGAGGTGATTCTGATGCTGAAGATGACCAGCCGATTTCGACCATATCCTCCACACGAATTTCTTCTACACGTAGTTCACTTGCCTCAACGCCGTTAAACGAAATTTTATTGGATAATATAAATGACATTGAACCTGAGGAAAGTGTGATAACCCAAAATCATATTACAGCAGAAGACCTATCATATCAGACAGTGAGGTAGAAAATTCTAATGATGCACAGTTTGTTTTTACCAAGCAAGAAAAACTCCCCACGCAATTTTCTAAAGCAATTTTTACAGAAAGTTTTGGACCTAAGTGTTCCCCAGACTTAGAAAAACCATTTTCATGTTTTAGTTTATTCTTCACCAATTTTTTTCTTTGTGAGATGATAGTCCAATCAAACCTTTACGCTCAACAACATGGACAGGATTTGTCTTTGACTTTAGATGAACTAAAAGCTTTTTTGGGAATAGTAGTTTGCATGGGATTTCATTATTTGCCAGGTATAAGAATGTACTGGTCACAAGATGAAAATTTTCATTTCGAAAGAATTGCAAGAGTGATGCCTGTAATACGCTTTCTAAGAATTCTTAGATTTTTTCATATGTCCGATAATGCTCAAATGCCAAAAAGAGATTCCCCTAACTTTGACAAACTTTACAAAATACGTCCTTTACTAGATTATTTTAAAAAACAGTTTCAGGAAAACTTTTCTCCATCTCGTTTTGTCTCAGTTGATGAGAGTATGGTAGCTTTCAAAGGTCGATCTAGCATGAAACAGTATATGCCTATGAAGCCGATAAAGCGTGGCTTCAAGATATGGGTGTTATGTTGTTCGGTAACAGGATATATGTTCGCGTTTGATGTTTACACGGGAAAGGGCCCTGATGGCACGGTTTCAGGAGGTCTCGGTGAAAAAGTAGTCTTAAAACTTTGTAAAGCTCTAGAAGGTATATTTTATTTAATTTTTTTACATCCGTAACACTACTCATGAAACTACTTCAGCAGAAATTGTTTGCTTGTGGAACCATAAGAACAAACAGAAAGCACCTTCCGAACAAACAAATGAAATCTGACAAGAATATGAAACAACATCATATTGATTATTGCATGACAGATGATATTTCGTATATAAAGTGGTCTGATAGAGGAAAAACACCTGTTTGCATGTTAAGTTCCATGCACGACCCTTCCCAAACGATAAAAGTAAAAAGGAGAACAAAAAAAGGGGCGACCGAAGAGGTTAACTGTCCATTGGCGATTGGGGAATATAACAAATATATGGGTGGAGTGGACCGTATGGACCAAATGATTGCTGCATACTCTGTATCAAGAAAATCACGGCGCTGGTGGCTAAAATTATTTTATTATTTTTTGGATTGCGCAATTGTCAATAGCTACATTTTATACAAAGAAAACATGAAACAAAAAAACAAGAAACCGATGACGCAACTGAATTTCAGATCCACATTGACAAATGAGTAAATTGGAACATATACCTCAAAACGAAAGAGGGGCTATCAACCTATGAAGGGGATTTCAAAAAAGAAAAAGACCTGCCAGACTTCTACAAATGATGCGCTTAGACTTTCAGGAGTAGGTGTCCATCTATCAGAAAAAATCCCAAAATATCGCAGATGCGGTCATTGCAGCACCAAATCAAAAGAGAAAAGGAGCAATATGATTTGCAAAACATGTAATGTTGCTTTGTGTAAGGAGTGTTTTTGTGATTTTCATAAAGAATAGATCTTAGTTTTAATATTTTGTGCCAGAATTACACTGTGCGACAAATTTTGACCTTACAATTTGAACTGGGATGAAATGTGGAAAAATCGAATCTATGCAACCCCCAAAACTAATCTTTAAAGGGGTTTTGCTAGTTTAGCTCGAATAATGGAGATATATAAAAGCCCCTAGAACTTAAAAAATATGAATTTTATAGAAAAATGCTCGGACACGTCGATTTTTATTTTATATGACGCAATTTTCAGTTGATTTTGAAATTGTTATTTTTTCACAGATTCACCCCCAGCCACCCCATTTTTTTTTTAAAGAAAACCGACCATTTGTTATACCTTAAATAACAGGTAATGTATACATTACACAGATTCACCCCCAGCCACCCCATTTTTTTTTTTTAAGAAAACCAACCATTTGTTATACCTTAAATAACAGGTAATGTATACATTACCTGTTATTTAATATTGAAACAATTATCAATGTACAGCAACAAACAACAATAATGTGAAACATAAAGTATAATATAACTTAAGTCACAAACAACAATAATAATGGTAGTGGTAAATAAAATATATAAAATAACAAGTGGTATAGTGGTGAACAAGAGTTATGCAATAAAATTGATGTACAGTCATAAATGATAAATACAATCAGGTATGATAAAGTAATAGAATTATGTCAGTACAAAGCAAATATAGTAAAATAAAATGACAATCAATAATAATAATATAAGAAAATGTCACAAAAACTCACATCATGGGCCCTACCTAGCATTTATTGTAAAGATGGGTGAATTGATAATTATAAGTCTTCAGGCTCGACCCCTTCGACCGTTACCAACACCGTTAAATAATAAAAGAAAATTCTAACAAGTGTTTGGTGTGGCGAAATTGCAACAAAGCCTCAACATATTAAATAATGAATATCAATTTATCAAATAAATAAAATAAGATAAACTGTACAAAATAAAGCATATAAATGTTAAATATAAATATGTAGTAAAATGTAAGATTACATTACAATATAATATGTTAAAGTAAATGTAATATAAATATAATAATTATAAACATAAAATAATGATTATAATATATTTGTAATTTGGTTTGTCCACAACAACCATTAAGATAAAAACAATTCAGCTTATTTCTTCTCTCACAAAAAACAAGTTGAAATAATAATAAAATATAGTTTAAATTATACGTATATTAAATAATTAACCACTCATTATGATATTTGTGACCTCAGATTATAATAACTAAATATAGAAAAGACATAGGGTAAGTCCGGGAGAGTTGTACCAGGGGGAGAGATGGACCACTGAGCTTAGTTGAAAAAAAGTTGAACAGATGTCGTTCGCGGTCTTGAGAATCTGGTCGTTAAATGCGTGTTAAATAAATATTTGTTAGCGATTAACGTTTAAAGCTACGTACATAAATTTCTGTGTATATAATTGTCATATAGCATCGACTGTAGGTAAGTTTTTGCAAAATAACTGTGCATGAATATAGGGTCCATGTAGATTACTCTAACCTAAAAACGAAAAATCTAGAATTGCGACTAGGTACGATTAATCACTGGTCCATCTATCCCTTGGCTTTGGGATAGATGGACCACGTATTTTAGGGTGAGTTGGACCATATATAATATTGCCGATTAACATGATTCTGCATAAATTAACCCTTTGAGGACCACTGGTTACTTGAGAATACCACAATTCAAATGTCGCTTATTAAATTTCCTAATGGTTTTCTGAATGTACCGGTGTGTAAGTTTCATTTTGATTTTTTTTAATAAAATGATTCCGGCCTCAAAGGGTAAACATGATTCTGCATAAATCTATTTAGTGTAGAAGTATTCTTTTTATTTACAGAGCCATGCCGAGTGTATATAAACGTCAAGGTACAGTAAACCGAGGAGATTGGACAGAAGAATCTCTAGTTAATGCAATTGAATCTGTGGCAAAAGGTACAATGGGCGTGAATGAGGCAGCTAGAGAGTTTGGAATACCAAAAACTACATTAAAACGAAGACTTAAATCTGGCAATAAAACTAAAACTGGTCGTCTTGGACCACAGTCTTGTTTAGGAGATGAAGCGGAAAAGAAATTAATGAATCATATTCTTAAGTTGCAGAAGCATGGATTTGCACCAGATAGAGACAAAGTTAGAGAAATGGCCTATGAATTAGCAGAAAAACTTAAAGTAAAGCACTCATTTAACAGCGATAATGGTAAAGCAGGTTATGATTGGCTTAAATTATTTTTGGGTCGACACCCCGAAATTTCAGTCCGAAAAGCCGAAGGAATTTCTTACTCATGAGCAACAGGTTTATGTAAGGACAATGTAAGAGAGTACTTTCGTTTATTAGGTGAGATTTTGGATAAAAATAATTTAAATGATAAACCGGGGCATATATTTAATGTTGACGAAACCGGGCTGCAACTAAACAACAAACCAGGCCATGTACTAGCTAAGAATGGATCAAAATGCGTCGCAAACATCACCGCTGCAGAAAAGGGGGAAACGATATCCGTAGTTGCCTGCTGCAATGCAGAAGGAATGTTTCTGCCTCCATATTCCATATTTAAGGGCAAGAATAGAAAAGAGGAGTTTTCAAACGGTTCATATGTAGCCATGTCAGAAAAATCTGCCTATATCAATGCTGATATATTTCTTCATTGGTTAAAAACACATTTCCTACCACGAAAACCGAATGGAAAAGTCCTTCTTATCTTAGACGGACATTCTTCTCACACAAGCTCTATAAGTGTGCTAGAGTTTACAGAACAAAATGATATTATACTTTTGTGCCTACCGGCGCATACCACACATTTTCTACAACCGCTGGACCGATCATTTTTTAGGTCATTAAAAAACTATTATTATTCTGCCTGCAATAGCTTTATGAAAACAAATCCTTCAAGAAAATTGGGTTGACTTCAGTTTGGTGAATTATTGGGTTGCTCTTGGAACAAAGCGGCCACGGTACAAAATGGTGTGTTAGAGCAACAGGTATTTTTCCATTTTGGCCAGACGCAATTCCAGAGTACGCTTACCTTGCTACAGATTCAAAAATTGATACTGATTCTGCAGAAAACAATATGCAGGCTTCCACATCGCAAAGTTGTGCGGACGATAATCCTCAGCCAAGTTGTTCTCATCATGTTGACAAAGCAATGAATACGCCTCCGGCTACAAAAACTATAACACCTGGAAAGCTGCTAGATAAAATATCACCAATTCCCAATTCTACTTGTGTGCAAAAGGCGAAGAGACGTGGACGTCAGCTTGCTGAAGTTCTCAATACTCCTGAAAACATCGAGGTTCTGAAGAATAAGAAACGTCCACAAA